TGCGTCCCCCAGTCCCCCCCAAAAACGCCTAAAATACGGTTCTTACCCTGAAAGACAAATTGGGAACTTTCATCTTTCACATTACGACAGAGCAAAAGAACTTTGTTGTTCCACTTTCGGTTGTTTGGGAATATTACTACTAAAAGTACACGGAATCAAGTCATTTTGATCAATTTGTATCTGTATTGCAAAACTATCCAGACAATACGCTGAACACAAGTGTTGAGAAGCTCTGCTTCTTTCCAGTTCAGGAATAACCTTTTGAAATGACAGATAACCTAATTTACACTGTTCACCCAGCCACATACCATGGCATGTTCAACAAAGTTATATATTACAAATAGTAGCCTGAGAAACATCAGTTTTGAACAATACGGACAGCAAGCATCCCCTCCCTGCTTACTCACAGGCGAGTCTTCCCCTTTCATCAAAACTACCGTTGTCAATCTAGTGATGGTAACTGCCATTAACTACCTTAGTCTCCAAAATTATGGCTTGAAGGCTTTAAAGAGGAAAATCAAGTTTATCCTTTACCTCAACCTGATCTATTATTTTAGTTATCCCCTCAAAAATGTCATTATTCTAATTCTTCGTAGAGTTTACAGTGCGGATCTCGCAAATCAACACAACGCTCAGATTTCATCTTCTCCAGATGTCAATAAAATTCACATCAGATAATAACTGGGACTCGAAGCCCAGATGCATTTCTCCCTAAGTTCAGGAGAATTTAGAATCTGTATGGCTGTTTCAGTGTATAAAGTTTAGTTTTTTTTAAAAAAATTAAATGTCACCACAAACGTATACTTTATTAAACAATATTCAATGGCAACAGGAGAAACATGAGACGGTTAAGAGTCAGGCCTTCAAAGGTAGGTGCTACCTGTTGCTTGCAAATTATGTGAAGAAAACAGCAAATCTAAAGGACTTGAACAAAACCAGATTTTGGTTGCCCAAAGGGCATGGATGAGATCTAATTTCAGTGATTCAGCCTTTGTGGGACAATAATAAAGGCAAAACACAAAATACTGCAGATGCTGGAAATCGGAAACAAAAACAGAAGTCGCTGAGAACATTCAGCAGGTCAGGCAGTATCTATGGAGAAAGCAAAGTGAGTCAACGTTTCGGGTCCACGACCCTTGGTGAGAACTGGGGCATGTTGGGAGGGAGAAGTTTAGAGAAGAGCAGGACTTCAAGAATAAAGGCTATATGCACTGAGGTGCTCTCAATAACCTTAAGAATGTAGAGTAGAATCATCAGCAAGACTATATAGAGTTGGTTGATAAGTGGAGGCGTCCTTAAAATGGAGGACACGTGTAACAATAGCTCATATGAAGCTTTGAACTTGCAGCAAAATCTATCAAATTGCTTCTACTATTGAGGAGGAGCTGCAGGCTATATCTGGTTGGTCAAAGATATCCCATTATGCAATAAACTTTCAGATTTCATATTAATTTTCAAAAGAGAAAACCCACTGTCCAACTTTCAGACTTCCTTAAGTGTTCACTCTGCGTGTGTTCAACCTACCCTGTGGGTTTTGGTGGACAAATGAATCGGGGAGGGGGGGAGAAAGAAGAGTGGGAAGGGAAAAAGGGGTGAAAGAAGATAACGACAGTCTATTCCTATTCTCACTAATCATTCTACCACACATACTTTGTAACAAAGAGCCTCGATAATCACCAGGAATGAACCCCTTCCCTCCCATCACTGTATGTCCAAACCAGACCAATTGATAGCAATCCGGCTACCACCCTGAAAAAGTTCAGATACCACAGGCCAAGAATCCAATCTGGCGTGTGTGGGGGGGGGGGGGGGGGGGGAGGGTCCTGGATTTATATACCATGGTTTTCCTCTAGAAACCAATTTATGGATGAGACAATTTAAGATCCCGGCTGCCTATTTTTCAGGTGGACATTAAAGATCTCAAAATATGATGGAAACTTTAAAGTTTGCCCTGTTGTCCCGGTCAACAATCCTTCAGATTAATCGACCATTCACCTCCTGGCTGTTTACGTAGCTTTCTTATGCTCAAAATGGCTGCTGCATTTGCCTTACAAAAACAATCACTGACCTACAAAAGCAATCATTGCCCTGGACAGCTACTATTGTATTAAGAGACACTGCAACATGACAAGGTAGTTATAAAAACATCAGTTCCTTCATTCTTTTAAATAGCAAAATATGAAATGGTACACCATTTGAGACATACTTTTAATTCACAACCAGCTAGGCTAGCAACCATATTTAAAATGGATATTGCACAGTAAACTAATTAGATCTTTATGTCCTTGGTGTTCTTATAGGTTTACAAGAAAAAAACACTCAATTAAGGGAAATTGTCCAAAGGATGAAACATTGTATTCACCAATATCCATTGCTAGAAATGCACAAAGAACCCATCCAAGGTCTTTAACCCAGTCAATCACTGGAAGCACTAAAGGAAGAATACAAAACAAATTTAAACAATCCTCAGCTCTGTAATTCTAGTAATTTTTGAAGGTGATCAGCCACAAAGCCAAAAGGTCCACAGATATAGTTCAAGACTTAATGCCATCAAAGAAAGGTGTATTTTTCATTTAACAGTCATTCAGTTGAAATATTTGGTGAGCCAGTTACAAAATATAACTCTCCAGACTGGCAGATGGCTTTCATTCTCTTATATATGTGTAAGACCAACAAAATGATAATTCCTCTCCAGAAAGGATTACCCAAGACAAAGACATTTCAGAAAAATGTTGGGGAAAACTTCAGCTGTGTTCTTAGAACCACCCTGTATTTGGCATCCAGATGAGGAAGTTCTGAGCATGAATCTGACTTACACTACAAGCAGGGAATAACAATAGCTTTCCAAGCAAGGGATTTCAGATTACACAAGACTAATGATTCAATGAATAAGAACAAGATTTCAGGAGGAATGAACAAACTATTCTTACCACTTTTCATAAACCGAAGTGCATAAGAGATACTCGCCCGAATAAGATTTTTCACCCTAAGACATGAAATCAATGGACAAAGCAATGGATCTTGAAACATTAATAACAAAACATCACATAGGATGGAATTTACATCCTAACGGCAGACAAATATTTTGCACTTTGTACTTTATTCGTAGAGGATTACCTGGATACCAGAAAGTCAACCAATACCAAAGGTACAAACCTTTGAATGATTAAGCTAATTCTTTAAGCCTTTCCACACCTCCGCAACATTGCCCACCTCTGCCACTGACCGCAGGCCGCTGAGACCCTGATCCATCCTTTCATTACGTCCCGGCTTGACTACGACAACTGCCTGCTCACTGGACTTCCAAACTCTTCACTCCACAAGCTGCAGATTATTCAGAACTCTGCAGCTCGTGTCCTCTCCCGCACCAGGTTCCGGGAACCTATCACCCCCATTCTTGCCTGGCTTCACTGGCTCGGGCATTGGCGGTCAGGCATTCAGCATCTCTGCCCCCACATTTTGGAACACTACTCCACAATCCTTCTGCCTCACCCACCACAAGACCTTCCTCTTTGATTGTGCCTTCGGCCACCCTCCCTGGCCTTCTTCCCTTCTGACCCCAACTCCCAGCTCGGGTCCAAATCCCGATTGTCCAGCGCCCTGGGACATCTTTCCAACGTGAATGGCGCTATACAAGTGTAATTTGTTGTTGTTGAGCCCATTAAATGGAAGTTCTGATGGGAGCTGAGTTACATCAGGCTGCCCTCCAACTGCGACAACAGACAGCAAGAAATTGCATTCGACAAATACCTATTCAAACAAATCTGAGAAGATTCTTTGCTTCAAGTTACAGTACCAATGTCACAACTGCCCCAACGTGATCTGCAAGATGCGAGTAAGTGTGGGCATAAGATAAACCTTTCCCCATTTGGATATTATTGGATCATCAAAAACGATTGTTCAACTATACTAGATCCTGCAGCTACATCTCAGCAATGTTTTATTCTGGAGGATCACACAAGATCCATTTCAAGAGAACACCATTTAAGGATCACATGAAGTGCTACAAGACTGGTGTTCCATCCTTGACCACATTCTGTGAAATAAAGGATGGCACTACTTGATCCTCCATACATATTTCAAGCGTGTACAAGAAATGCACTGCAGGAAGGTTTTGTGATATTGTGAGGCTCCATAATCATTAATAGCAGTTAGTGCTAACTGGGAAAGACCAATCGCAGGATTATGTAGTCCTTGAATTAGGTCACTGCCTTTAGCAGTTGAATACAGTAAGTCAACCAGGAAAGTGTACTCAATTGAAAATACCTGCTGACTCATATTTCTGCTGATACTCACTAGAGTACACAATAAACTGCTCCAAATCTGCAGGTCAACACTAAAGTACATACATAATATGGGCCGGATTTGCACAACTCGTCACTGAGTTGGAACACAAAACTACAGTTATAATATGGAAGAAACTAATAAATGATATTTCAACTTGTGCAGTGCGTGAAACCAATAAACCAATTCACTGCTGCCATTGACGTGACTAACTATGGTGTAAAAGCAGAAAATCACTTTGTATGTACCAAGGATATAACAACTTGCTAAACTTTGAAGCTGCTGAGTTTCAAGATACATCATTTATCGATTTAGAATTATGAAATACGGTTCTTTGTTGTAAAGAATAATGTTGAACTATATTCAGTAAGAAAACATTTCCCTGAATTTCTCTCATCCTCTCAGCCACCACAATTTATGTGCAAAGCCTAACATTTACATGAATGCTTAATATCGGGATTAAGATTCTTTTTATAAATAACTTGTTTTCTGGATATTTTATATGGACGCATGACATTGACTGTAGCCAGTTCACAAAACACCAATTCCACTAATTGAAGCAGGTTGGCTGGGATTTGTAACCAGTACAATTACTAAGTATTTGTGGAGGAGGGGTTGGAACATATATAAATGTTTTGGAATTCATACTCAAATTAAATGATCAACTCTGTAATAAAATCCTAAAGTAGAAATTACAAACACACAGAACAGAATACCTGCTGCTTCAAGTAAGGCTTCCAGTCTTGCTTGCGTTTCTGGGTCTACAGTTCGTAGATCTGTTCCATCTGCGGCACTTGATAACAGTAACTCAGAAGCTGTTTTGATCATAGGATCTTCCTGGTCCAAGATAAACGATTCAACCTGAAAAGAAAATGACAAATTTAGGTGTAGAATATAGAGCAGCAACTCCTCTCACTTTTGACTTGGTTTCTCAAAAACTGTATTTTAGGCACTTAAAAAAGAAACGGCTCATAAAATGGACAAGTGGACAAGACAGAAAAGCAACGAGTAAGTACACCTGAAACCATGAGTTGTGAAGGGGAATATTACTCCTAATCTGCACAATCACATATTTGAAATGCACCCCACATGCTTACTTAATTTCAGCCAAACAGTTTTAAGTTTTGAATCAACTTTTGTAAATCTATGGAATTCTGTTCATTTTTGAAATAATAACCTGTGTATTCTCTTTGATGTATACTTTGCAATAAAAAGGATTAACAACAACAAATTGCATTTATATAGAGTCTTTCAATTTGAGAGGATGTCCCTAGGCACTGAACACAGTACAACAAATATGCATGAAACCTTCAAAAAACACAAATAGATCATGGATTATGATATTGGATCCCATACTATCCCTTTGAGAAATACAAAAATAAATTCATGGAGAAAATGTCCACAAACTCCTTGCTTATTTCTGTTCTAGTGTGTCATACCCATAATTTTGTTCCACAATTGTAGTGTATACATTTTTAACCTTAAAGTCATGGATCACAGCCACACCACTGTGGCAGGCAACTCCCCAGAGGAAAGTTACCCAATATATTTTCACGCAATACATACAGTCTAAACTGATACTGGCTAACCCCAGCTCATGTAAACTGTGGCAAAAAGCTACCTATGCTGAGTCATATCAGGATTCTTATTACCTGCAAAATGAGATGTATCCACCGCTGAAATAAAATACAACCACAGAACCTGAAGATGAGTAAAAATAGTTGACTAGTTAACCGATTTTCCAGTCGACTGCAAAACACATTTGTGAGGTCTTAACTTTTGAAGATCTTTCAGTTGTTACAATGCCTTGGGAATCTGCACTCACAATATGGAATCGAACGAAACTACTTGTGATAAAGATGGGTATAATTTTCTCAGAAAGACACTATATACTACTACAAGTACAGAATGCAATTCATTTCTAAAATCTTATTGTGCCAGTTATAAGGGCATACAGAAGAGGAAAAGGTAAATGTAACTGAATAAGTAACACAAGGTCTCAAATTTCAGGAGATAAATGAAACCTGTGTTTGACGATTCCAGTTTACGATAGATAAACATTTAAACTGAAAGGACTTTTTAATTTAAAATATGCAAAGTTACCCATTGGCTAGACCAGCAAAGCCACTGTCCAATGTGAAAGTCCTACAAGCCAAGATAGTCCCTGGCTCAATCCTGTGACTCTGCTGATCCAGCTAACCTCAGCCAAATTGACTGAGAAATTACAATTGGCCTCAGGACCCCCAAGTCAGGGGCAGAGAAATGGAGGGGAAAACGGAATCATGAGTGGACGGATTAGATTCAGCTGTGATACTCAACACAGTAAAATAAGCCTACTAAGATTTGCTATCTTGGCTTGTGGGCAATAATAAGTTTCCAGCACATACGCAACCATGCTCAAAAATCACTACCTTAAAGAGGCGGAAGGCAAATTAGCAAGAATGTTTGAGCTTAATTTTTGTATCGTCTATCAAGATGTAATGATGCTTTGAATCAGAACCACTTATTTTTCAACAAATTGTATACAAGTTGTCACCCACTGCTGAAGATGTTCTGTCAAATCAAATACAAGAGCTGATGAACCTGAAGGCAGTCCAGTGAGTTGTGCTGCTCAAGCTTATGGTTCTTGTGGAATTATGGTAAGTACAGTTTACCCAGCTAAAGCTATCTACAGGCTATCACTTATAATTGTCCTTGACCTCAAACTCTTATACCCACTTCCAGTTACAAATAGAAGCCCAGTAACCAAAAGAAATAGGAGGTTGCAAACGAAGATTAGGTACCTATTTGCGATTAAAACCTAGTGTACTTATATCATTCAGAAAAAAAGCTTTTTGGAGAATGCACGTACTGAACTACTGAAATCCTACCAAACATTAAATTAACAATTAACAAATAGTTGCTATAAGCAATAATTTCACATCCTGCTCAGTTGATTGAACCAGGTTCTCTTTCAGACAATCTATAATGTGTAGAACTTTTTAAAATAGTAACATTTTGGTGGATACTAACACACTATTTTCTGTTTTACACGTACAGCCATTGTTCTTTTGTCCTACCCTTCCACTTCTAAAGCACACATTTGAGAAAAAAAACCTAAACACGACTTTTATCTTGAGCTAATACTGGTCTGGGAGCATACTAGTTCATTTGCACTAGTTACAGTTGCCACATATCTTTGATAAGCTTCAATGTTTGTTGGAAAGCAACTATACCATGGTATGAACAGTTTCAGCTGATTTTTTTTTATAAAACGCCTGTGTTACAGTACATACAGCCTCTCAGCAAAGATATCTGAAAGGTTAAAACTAAATAAAAAATGTAGCACCCTTTGGCTGTGGGAATATGACATTTTGGCTGCCAATTGTTGCTTTTCGAAAGTGTACATTCGTATTATTAAGATTTGTTTGGCATTGCCAGTAAGCTACTGTTCAAGTCATGTAGTGAAAGCATTGACACTCAGGACATTTTCATTAAAGCATCTTCACTTGGCAACATCCAGACTCAAACTGGCAGCAGAGCAAAGTTGGGAAGGCAAGATTAAATAATACCAGAAGAATCTGTCTCCAGCCTCTTAATACATCCGCAATAATAATGTAATAATAACAATCCTTGCATTTGATATAGCGCCTTATCACATCTTTGAGATGTTTGAAGCGCTTCACAAAATATAATGTGAAACAAATTGACTATATTTTGTGGATAAAACTCGGTAGTCAACTGCGCACAGCAGTGTCACACAAACAGTCGTGGATTGAAGTGACCAATTGATTCTTTTTTTAAAAAAGGAAATTATTACCCTCGGAAAAGTGATCCTCCAATCGACTAACAACGGGGTTCTTACTTACTGCTAGATAAACCGAAGCGAGTGGAGTAAGGAAATTTGTCCAACATTTCGCCCTGCCGGGAATCAAACCCAGGTCTCTCGCTTGTGAGGCGAGCGCTCTAACCACTGAGCTACAGGACTCCACAATTCCAAAATGTGCAATGTCAATTCCATACCAGCCCTGGTGACCAATTGAACATGCACCAGGAAGTAGTGATGTAGAAAAACAATCTGTCAGCATTGTGACAAATCCAGTACAAGCACCTGTTGAAAAATAGTTATTCCATAAAACTATTACTTTGACACACTTCAAACAGAAGCACCTACATAAACTGTAGCAGATTCTGGAGGGCAGTGTTTTTATTAGGTTCTGTAGAGACCGAAAGTCATAATCTCCAATATTAATAACTTCTTAATGGTAACTACCATCAGGAAAGAGGGAAACACACTGAACATGAATAACGACATTTCTCCCCTCCTATCGGTTCTGTGTCGTGCTGTGTGAAGGGTGCTATATAAATGCAAGTTGTTGCTGTTAGTGGAATATGTACCTATTGTTGTATTTTACCCTGCCAAGCTATCTATGAAGCCTGGATTGGCTTGCAATCCCTTGCTGGAAAGCAAAAAAAAAATTACCAGAGAATTAACGTGTTCAGGACTGTGGTCAATTTGTCAGATGGAGCCAGAATTTTGCTGAGAATCTTTCACACTGGCAGGACTATTTTCCACCTAGCAACATCTATGAAAATGACCTCTACTTGAAGTTCATTACAATAAGCATAGAGCATAATTTCATTACCAATCTACTTTATAACCAGAAATAAAAAGTAGCTAAAATGTATTACTCGGTTAATTCTGTGTTGGCAGTGCAGACTGAGTGAACAAAATGGCAACTTACTGATTGTACCATATGGTTTTACATACAACAAATTTCAGAGAGCAGTAACAGTTTATCTGAGCACAGATTTGTATTCCGGTGTCAAACACATCCAAATCTATGACAGGCTATGAAATAGATGAAAAATATATTACATAATATACACATAAGTAAAAATTATCTCCTGTGGTCTTTCACTTACTTATGAAGTCTATGCCTAACTTCACCAATATCTGACCAAGAAGTGAGCTCAGCTAACATACTTCAATACACTCAAGAAACAGCCTCCAAAAGCTATAAGTCACCTTCCTCTCCAAATTTGCTTTCATGCAGGAAAGCACCTGGTTTCACTTAACACTTCCTCTTGGTTACTCAAGAGGAACAAGGTCTCTCACAAGACCATTGTCAAAATCAATTCTAAACTTCAAAGCTTCTCCTCCTAATTTTCCCTCCTTACTTATCTCCTTCCCTGAAGCTAACGATTCAAGTTTAAGTACTATGCTACAACAGAGGCACCCTCCAGCAATTTAAACAAGGTTAATTCTCCATTGCCAAGAGTTTTGCAGCAGTAGGCTATTTAACTTTGAAGCTTTTTAGACCAGGACTCTTCCCTAGATAACCAGACAGATGCACTTCCAACAATGAGTCACTGGTTCATAAACGTGCAACAATTAACTGCAAATTTCTTATAAACCAAATGAATCAATTTTCTTAGTGTTGCCCATTACATATTCCAGAGGATAACTATACTAATCATTTATTAATTATCTTAGACATTTGTATTACGTGACAAGATCCACCCTCAGACCAGATATTCAAGGTCTCAAGATCTACCACTGACCGTGCTTTTGGTTATCCTTACCCTCCCCTCTTGGCTCCCACCCCATGCTCGGGTTCCCACACAGTATCGCACTTTGGTCCTCCTGAATGAAAGGCACTGTATACATATAAATTTGTATTGTATCTAAGTGAATAAACAAGACATTTTTCAATTGCTTAATAATCAAAAAACAAATTTAACATTACCATCCCATTAGAGAGGCGCATATAATTTTCTTTCAAACCTTATGCATTTCAAATATGCATTTCAAATACTAGTATATTTAATGGCAAGAACAGCAGCTAGGAGAGAACAAATTGCAAGGCTAAATATAAAAG